TTAATTGATATTTTGTCATGGTTATTTTATTTTTGAAAAATTTAGAAGCCTGTTGAATATTTAATCTGTAACAAATCTAGTAACAATAGCTTGGTTTTGCAAGCTGAATTGACATTGATAGTGCAGCTCCTGGTGTCTGTTTTATATAACTGCAACTTAAAAGACTTGAAATACTGCTGTTTATGGGAATGTGGAAACAGAAATATAATCTAACTGCATAGTTCTCACAGTGCTTTTAAGAAAGACATACATATTTTTTCCAATTGTGAAACAATCCTTAAAATAAATTATTTTTTGTCAAAAGTGATTCATTTTTGTTTCATCTATCTTTTTACAAAAAAGAAATAGTTTATTTTTTGTTGCCAAAATTGCCTTTGGCAACAACAAAAAAAACATTACATAGGCCTTTATTTTAGGAAGGTGACGTTGTATAAGTGCAAGTGTTTCCAACGTGGAGAATATGCTAGTGTGTTGTTACATCAAAATGTTTTTTTTTTACTCAACCTTGATTTTATATCTCTCATTTTCCCTTTTCCACCCATGTATTATTAAATAATCTATTAAATTTATTTTATAATATTGATGCTTTAAATGAGTCTCCCTGTTGTTTTTCATTTCCTTCTAGGGCTACAGTTTTGGATATGCACAGCTTAGATGTTCTTTGTTACCCTTTCACCCTCATTGCTTTCCTTTTCAAAGTAAACCAAGTCCACAAACTGAATTGTAACTGTAGTTAAATTAATAAATGGCACCTGAACATGGGAGACATCTTCTGGCCTGATTATGCAAGCTGAACTGAAATTGATAATGCAGCCAGTTTGTGACTTGTATCTGTAGCCTCCTTTTATTTTTTCATTTTTATTTTAAAGGATTTTTTTGGCTTTAGAGACCTTTATTTGTTAGCTAATGAAGTGGATTGTGAGAAAAGGGTGAAGGTGAAGGGGCTGGGACTCGAACCTATGACAGTCTCTTCAAGGACTGAGGCCTCTATTCATGAGTCTGGTGTCTTAATCCTGCACCAACTCTGTGCCCCAGCCACCTTTTTACTTCCAGCTGTACTACTGACGACTAAATGGCTTTTGAGGAATTAGTAAGGTTCTGAAATCTGGATTTTCACTGAAGCAGTCAGCATACTACAAGTTTGTCTTTTGTTTTTGAAGCTGAAATCAAAGGAAGCAGCTTCAGAAAGCAATAACCCCTGTAAATAATTTCAGAAAGTGCATATGATAAGAAGGTGTGCTTACTACTGTTGCTATTATTGAACTATTGCAAAATTATTGTTATGACAATTATAAAGGTCTATGGAACTAAAAAAGTACATCTATTTTCTTTGGTTTCTTGTTAATCATGGGAAAAATAAACTGATCATCTTGTATTTGGATTTTAGACTTAATTAAGATTCCCACAATATTATTTTTTGTTCGTAAAACTATAAAGTTTAGAAATGGTCCCTTAACACTTTCCCAGACTGATGTCCAGCAACAATTAGTTCTCTAAAGTTATTGCTGATGTCTTTCCACCATGACATTGAGCTATTGCATACCTAAAGACCAGCATATTGCCAAGCTATCTAATTTTATAGATTTGCATACACTTGCTGACAATCAGTGAATTTTGAAAGTAGAGCCTTGGTGCTATTTAGAATGTAATAAGATTCTTTTTGTCTTCCCTCCCTACCTCTGTTTTCTGCCACTGGCCCAGCAGTCTGAGTTGTATTCAAAAGGACATTTCAGTTTGTCCATGACTACAGTAAGCATAGTTTGTTGTTGGTAATTGACATTTTAATGACATTTTAAGCCCAAATTAACCTTTCCATAGAGCTGAATGCCACATAGGTCTAGAGGGGAAGGTCAAAGGAGAAAGGGGAATTAAACCATTATTAAAATAATGATGTGCTCAAACAAAGAGAAGCAAGGCCTTATTAGAGACTTCTGAAATTGAAACACATGAAGGGGATTATGAGTCTGTATTTACAAATAATTTTTTTCTATTTTCACCTCAGGCTCACTAATGAGAGAGTATTTGAGAGCTACTAGCGAGGGAATGGTTCACAAATGGCAATTTTCAGCTTATAAAATGGCTTGAAAATTGCAGACTAAAATGCTCTTTCTGATGGCGATGAAAAGATCTCATTAAAATAAATAGCAGAGAGCCTCTTTGTTGTGCTTACTGTGCTGACAAGGGGAGCCTAATTCTCCTGCCATGTTGTTGTGTGTTAGGGGTAGAGTTGCTGTGGTGTAGGGCCCTTCACTCCAATGAGGCTAAAAGGGTAAGAGATGTTTCTCTAATGACTCAGCCTCAAACAAGTAGGAGAATGCATTATGGACAACATGCAGCTAGGTGTGATACCCCCAACACTGGCAATGCACCACAGCGTATTATTTCTTACAAAGATGCACGTGCCTAAATACAAAGCTAGGAAAATATCAAGACCAACAATGAATGGGAAATGAAAAAAGTGTTCATACTCTACGGTCCTACTGCAACATAGTGAGATAGGTTTGAATGACAGTGAATACAGTTGCTTAAACATATTTTTTTCTGGCAAGGATGAGGGATGCCCAATAGATTGAAAAACTACGCAGTGCCATTGTGTGAGAAGGCGTACTTGTCTTGAATAGACAAGTGCGCCTTCTAAAGAGGATTCAGATGGGAACAGAATTGTGTCTGCTGTCTCACTGAAGCAAATGAGTCTTTTAATGTAAAAATGAAAGCAATTTTTATCTAAAACAATATACTTTAAACGTTATCTTAAACGTTATAGTGTACTTACTTAGTGTAAGTACACTAAGTAATTAATTTTGAGTTAATGACAAAAAAGTTAAGAATGAGCTTCTTTATTTGGGGGCTGGAACTGAATAAAACAACAAACCAGAATGAGATGCATTACGTTGAACCTAAATATCTTACATCTCACAAAGGTCATTCTCACTAAATATATGTTAATACCGTCCGTCCGTCCGTCCATCCATCCATCCATCCATCCATTTTCTAGTGGGGTCGGGAGGGTTGCTGGTGTCTATCTCTAGCTAACGTTCCTAGAGAACGTTAGCTAGAGATAGGGTGAGAGGCGGTGTGTACACCCTGGACAGGTCGCTAGTCTGTCGCAGATATGTTAATACCAATAACAGCAAAAGTAATAATGTCTTTGTGTGCTACAAAAAAACAAACAGTAACACATCAATGAAGCGGTAAAGGTTCTGTTTTACCAGTAATTCCTTCTTCTTGTTGCACATCTGTTCTCGTTAAATTTAATGAAGATAATTCATTATTTCTCATTACATATTCTTTCATAACCAGGACATTAACTAATCTTGTCATTCTGCCTGTATTTCAGCTAAGCCACATTCTTAACTGGTTCATTAAATAACTAATAAACTAAACTAAATAAAAGGCATCAATACTGGAGTCCAAATCACCGGACACGCCTCTCTGGCTTTCATGAATTTTATTGTTGCTATGTTTGCTTTAGTAATATTCTCATTCTCAATCATAAGACAAATGCTGCCACCTACTGGCCAAATGGTGTAGCCTTCGAGTTACACCATTTGTCAACTGACTCAGGCAAAAGCTGGAGGATATTGCCTGAGTCAATATCCTCTTTTCATTCATCTAAAAGCTAACTTGCAAGTGTGTTCCTTCTAACTCCATGGTACAGAGAACATTTACGATGTTCAAACTAGCAGTAAGCAGCCTTGATATTCTGGACTTGTGACTTTAAAAATAAATGCAATGGCTGATAACCACAAACACAATCTTCATTCTGATCATGTTTCCTTTAAAAAGAATGCTAATATTGGTAGTTACAGTTTTAAATCCCTTAGCTTCATACAAAGTTTTGTTACCACCAGTTGTACTGTCTAATAATTTGGATTATGGGTGGATCATTTATAAATGGTCTTAAAAAGCCATTTGTCATTTGGTACCAAATAACCTGATTTGAATTAAATGAAACTGAATTGATAGCTTTGATGCCATTATTTGGCTTTACCCCAAATATTTACAGATCTCTTCACTCTTCACTAGTTTGAAGTGGCAGATATTTTGATCAGCTGTAAAAGTGTCAGGTCATGGAGGACCTTTTGTGGAACCAGTCACCTCAGTAGCCTCTAAATATGGCTAAAGTCACCAACAAGTCACTTTTAAAAGAAAGGTGCTAATCCAAATCTGATTTAATCAGTTTCATCTTTACATGATTTAATATAAACTTAGATACTGTTCATCTGGAAACAAACTCCTTTACAAAGATTGAGTGAGTTCAGTTAAAACTAGTTGGTGTTCATTGCTCTGGCAAAGTTTTAGCTGTTCAATATTTAGGGCTTGTAATCCATTAGTGGCATTTAAAGGTGCCAGTCACCAGAACCTGAGGTACTCAAAAATTCTGTATATTCCTGAAAATGTACACTTGTCCTGTTAGTATGCAACAGGATAATGTACCTTTGTAAAAAAAAAAATATTGTACCCATTAATGTACACTTGCACTGCCAGTGCTACAATTATAGAACATGTTAAAAATTAGGCTGGTTTAAATTTTAACATGAGTACCAATGCCCACAGTGGGACAAGGATTTTGCTGTAAGCGGGACACACTAAAACCTAGAACCCACTTTTTAAAAAAAAAAAAAAAGGGACATTTAACTCATTTTCCTTAGTTTGATGTAAAGTTGAGAACTTCAGTATGAAAATGCAAGAGTGCCCTCTAAAGGCAGTCAGATTACATGGAACTTTAATCCAGCCAAGAATCCTTGTCAGTACAGATGAAACCAAATGTATATACCCAATAGCTTCAGTAACAAGAAAAAAAATAAATCTTAGCTATTTTTGATCCCAACCCTATAGCATTTATTTTGTGTGTAGTAAAAAGGTAGCCAGCATTGAATTGAGTTTAAGCACCATGTAGAATAATAATTTCACATAAATATAAGCTCTTCCAGTTTGTTTGTTTTTTTCCAAAGTAGCAAAGTGCTAAATTATTTGCAGGAATTTAAACTGAACAAGAGTCAACAGTTGCAAATTTTATTTTTAAGGAAGTGACAGTCTATAAAACAAGACATGTCAAATCAGTGTTTGCAGACAAGTTTTCCATGTGTCAATGCAGTTATGGACCTAGTCAATACACTCTTAAGCTTGTAACTTCTGCTGTAAGAGGGCTTCGGTCTTAACATCCCAGGAGGTAGGTTTGAGGGGATGGCATGTTTAGTCGACCTCCTCGATGGTTGGGCCAGAGGATCCGCCACCGGGAGCAGCACCACCTGCTCCTGGGAAGCCACCAGGCATGCCTTCTGGCATCCCACCAGCACTCTGGTACAGCTTTGTGATGATAGGGTTGCACACCTTCTCCAGTTCCTTCTGTTGGTGTTCATACTCATCCTTTTCAGCAGTCTGAAATAAAAATAAAATTGGGCATTAGGGCAGTTTAGGAATGCTCAACAGGTGGTTTCCCTCCCCCTCATTTACCTGGTTCTTATCTAGCCAGCTGATCACTTCATTGCACTTATCCAAGATCTTCTGCTTGTCATCGTCGCTGATCTTTCCAGCAAGCTTCTCATCCTCCACAGTTGACTTCATGTTGAAAGCATAAGATTCCAGGCCATTCTTTGCAGCCACCTTGTCACGTTGCACATCATCCTCTGCCTTGTATTTTTCAGCTTCCTGAACCATGCGCTCGATGTCCTCCTTACTGAGGCGACCTGAAAGCAGAGGGCATTTAGAAACTGCCAAGAAATGTTTGGGAACTGGCCAAAACAATCCAGAACTTACCTTTGTCGTTTGTGATAGTGATCTTGTTCTCCTTGCCAGTGCTTTTGTCAACAGCAGAGACATTCATGATGCCATTAGCATCAATATCGAATGTCACCTCAATCTGTGGAACGCCACGAGGAGCAGGAGGAATTCCTGTCAATTCGAACTTCCCCAGAAGGTTGTTGTCCTTTGTCATAGCACGCTCTCCCTCATAGACCTGTTGCGACCCATTTAAGACAACAAGATTGGCATGTTCACCTTAACATGGCAAGATCAGGCCACACTCCTTTAAAGATGACCAGAGCATCCTGACCTGGATAAGCACACCAGGCTGGTTGTCAGAGTATGTGGTGAAGGTCTGGGTCTGCTTTGTTGGAATGGTGGTGTTGCGTTTGATCAGGACAGTCATGACACCTCCAGCTGTCTCGATACCCAGGGACAGAGGAGTAACATCCAGAAGGAGCAGGTCCTGTACATTCTCAGACTTGTCTCCAGACAGAATGGCAGCCTGGACAGCTGAAAAGACAAAAGGAACATCCCAAATCTGTTGGCACACTGGACTGAGGATCACCATGGAAAATGACCTAATCCTGTTCTTACCAGCTCCGTAAGCCACAGCTTCGTCTGGGTTGATGCTCTTGTTCAGCTCTTTTCCATTGAAGAAATCCTGAAGGAGCTTCTGGATTTTGGGGATACGGGTGGAGCCACCTACCAAGACAATGTCATGGATCTGACCTTTATCCATCTTGGCATCACGGAGAGACTTCTCCACTGGGTCAAGAGTTCCACGGAAGAGATCAGCATTGAGCTCCTCAAAACGAGCTCTGGTGATAGAGGTGTAGAAGTCAACTCCCTCATAGAGAGAGTCGATCTCAATGCTGGCCTGGGTGCTGGAAGACAAGGTGCGCTTTGCCCGCTCACAAGCAGTACGCAGACGTCGGACTGCCCTCTTGTTGTCGCTGATGTCCTTCTTGTACTTGCGTTTGAACTCGGCAATGAAGTGGTTAACCATGCGGTTGTCAAAGTCTTCCCCACCAAGATGAGTATCTCCAGCAGTGGATTTCACTTCAAAGATTCCATCCTCGATGGTCAAGATGGAAACATCGAAAGTGCCACCACCGAGATCAAAGATGAGCACGTTCCTCTCTGACCCAACCTAAAAGTTCAGCAGGTAAAGCCAATTAGTGAATAGCAGTGATTCAGTCTCAAGTTAAGATGGGAAACTGATTTCTGCCTACCTTCTTGTCCAGCCCATAGGCAATAGCAGCTGCAGTTGGTTCATTGATTATACGCAAAACATTGAGGCCAGAGATGGTGCCAGCATCCTTGGTGGCCTGACGCTGGGAGTCATTGAAGTAAGCAGGTACTGTGATCACAGCATTGTTGACAGTCTGAAATAATAAAGGCAGTCGTTAGCATTTAATTTATAAAAATCAGGAAAATGTATATACACACACACATAAAAATTAAGTCTTACTTTTCCAAGGTAGGCCTCAGCAATTTCCTTCATCTTTGTCAACACCATAGAGGAGATTTCCTCTGGGTAGAAGGATTTAGTTTCACCCTTGTATTCAACCTGAACCTTGGGGCGGCTGCTGTCATTGATTACAGAAAATGGCCAGTGCTTCATGTCTGACTGTACAACGCCATCATCAAACCTCCGGCCAATCAATCGTTTGGCATCTGTAAAGAAAAAGAGCCAAGCATGTAACCAGAGTAAGGGACCAGCCTCACCTTCCTGGGAAGTAGGAAATGTAAATGGTAGGAATCTGCACCTTAAAGATGAACCACTTGAGTGAAATGTGTTAAAATGTACTTTCAGCATGAAAAACTGGCAGAATGGGAAATTTAGAATTGAAATAGACTTTCATACCAAAAACTGTGTTGGTAGGGTTCATGGCAACCTGATTCTTGGCTGCGTCTCCAATCAGTCTCTCGGTATCTGTGAAAGCCACATAGCTGGGTGTGGTCCTGTTGCCTTGGTCATTGGCAATGATTTCAACTTTGCCATGCTGGAACACACCAACACAGGAGTAGGTGGTTCCAAGATCGATTCCAACTGCTGGTCCCTTAGACATGTTTACTGAGAGAGGGACTAACAAAAAAAAAAAAGTATAATTAAAAAAAAAAAAACCTCGAAGTCTGCATAATAATGAAAACAAGTACATTTTAAAATATACATATGTAGGGATACAGAAAATTATATAATATATTCTTTCACCCCAGGTAAAAATACCCGGAAAGACTGCAGGAAGCTTAACCGCCATTAGAGAACGTTCGAGAATGTTCCAGAAACCCCTCCCCCTACCGCAGTAAGAACACGCTTCTGACTAACACAAACGTATATTCATAATCCTGGCATATAAACCGTTTAATTTTAAAGTCATCTTTCAGTCAGGCTTATATAATTAACAATATTAAATTTGATTAGAACTCAATTACGTCTTATTTTAGAGATGTATGTATAAAAGAAAACGTTAGCAAAACCAGTAATCACACCCCCTACAAGAAGATCGACTTGTTAACAAAACGAGTAAGAATCTTACCAAATCGTTCGGTCGGGGTTGACAGAATGTGCTAAAATGGAATGGGGAAACAGTGACAGACCGGACACCTCTCTGGGATGTGAAGGATAAGGAACGTTCTGTTTCTCGTAACGTTATATATCACCGGCATGCCGGCCAATCAGTGTCCAGTCGTTGTTACAGCACCAATGACATTGGTGATATCTGATGACGCTAATGACGATGCTCATCACTTCCTGTTCTTTCGGCTGAAGCCTTTCATAATCACTTTGAGAGAACACGTGCGTGAGTGAGCATGGCGTCCTTTATTGGAACAAAAGGTCATTGGCTGAAGCGCATACGTTTACAAGGATTGTGCTGATGCTGATAACGAGTTTAACCGCGTTATTAAAGTACAAAACGAACTCTTAAAAGTGATGATAATATTTAGATGAAAACAGCTGAGTGAAATCATGTCTTTCCGTTAATTTTTCTACTTATTAACAACGTGTTTCCGTTCATTTTTCTACTTATTAACAACGTGCCATGCTTGTTGTTTGGTTCAAGTGTTTGTAACCTTCCAGTTCATTATTGCTTTGATGAGAGACTGTGCAGTATTAGTCAGAAAGTCTGTTTCATAATGCTAGTGTTTAGGGAGGACTTGTCTGTAGTTAGTTATTCACGTAATTAATAAGAATGATAAAAACTGCTAAATATAATTTATCCATATTGATACTTGTCCTTGCTCATACAATATTTTGTAGCAAAATAATATTTATTGGTACAACATGCATACATATATTTATTGGTACAAAATTCCAATAAATATACTTACATTTACTTACATTTCTGTGTAAAAAAATACATTATTTTCCATGTAAACAGTGTAAACAAGCATTTTATCAAGAACACATGCAGTTGTTTAGTTATTAGTCATAAACACCAGCAGACTCCTCCACTTCACTTCATTTTCACATATTACATAGGAAAGAAAAATATCCATTTCCCATGGTATGGTCTTTACTTAAAAATCTAAAAAACATTTCAAATCTAAGAAAGGACCATTTCCTCATAAATACATGACTTTTACAACAGACTGTCTTCGTACTGTATCATGATTTGTTGTAATTTTCAGATTTTGGCACTTTTATACATTGTATTCACAAACAACACACTAAAACTGTTTGCATTTGAGTATTTGAGGATAACAAACACGCATATCAGTAGTTTATAATCTTTTAATGACAATCCCAGGATGGTTCATAACTATAATAGTGTAGTGAGGTAATGCCTCCTTTTATTGTGCTGCTCCTTGAAATTGCTGGAAACACAATTACAGGTTCAGTAAAGTCAGGGAATCTGACTTTACTGGTCAGGTTCATCGTTTGATGATGAACCAGTTCTATCGACGGAAGTTATTAAAGTGAAGTCTCCTTTATGTTGCTTCTGACTGCAGCTTGCATCTGACTTTGCGAGGTCTGCTCTATGGTGGCGCTTTCTTTTCGAGTCATTGCATTTGGGTTCGTTACTGAAGTTATTACTGCTGGATCCTCAACAACATACTGTGCGAATACCGTGTTGAAGAGTCCTGTGAAATAAACAGAGAATTTTACAATGAGGGATTTTTTTTCTTTTTATTAGAAACAAAGACAAACTCAAAACCATGCTTCTAAGAGAGACTGAAAACGTTAACTGTAAAGAATAAGAAACATAATGTAAACTTACAGGAACAGCATAATCTAAACTAATTTTCTTTCCATATAGCTATGTGGGCATACATGGGCATAAGTTGTGTTTAAAATATTTCCTGGCTGGCAAGTAAGCAGACTGTTTCTGCTGCACAACATATCCACACTAGTCATCTTTTTCAAATGGGATTCAGTGTCATTCTCAGAAAAAAAAATCAACCCTCATTTATTAAAATATTAAAATATTCATTGTTTGGGTTCCAACTCTATTTGATGCATGAGATTATGATCTCTGCTGTCTAGGTTTCACTACAAAATGAAAGGAATTACAATTCACTGCCTTACCTCTTCGCCGTTGCCCTTGGGAGTTCTTTTCTTCTTGGCTTGATTTTGACTTACTGCTAGTTTCTGATGGGTCACTGTCTTCATTCTCTGTAACAATGAAAACTGTAAGATGTTTGTGAATGATGACTAAGAGGCATAGAACTGTCTAAACTTGTAACTGTAAGATATTTGTGAATGATAAGCACATTCAAATGAAAGCACCATTATATACTATGTTCACAGCATTTAAAGCAGCTCCAGCAGAAATCTGATGTTGGTGTGTTTCTGCACAGAAAATAAGGACTTAGGCTGCTTACCTTTCTTCCAGGCAATGTGTGCTCTCCTCAGCTTGATAGCAAAGAAAATGACCACTACCAGAAGGGCAAAGATGAGGCATGTCACCAGAAGTACTAATAAGGAAGAGCCTTGTTTCCTTTCTGTTCTCTTATCAGGGTCTAGGAAAAAGATATAGCACAGCTCACTAAAAGCCCACCAATGATTCAGCCATGTCAAGACCCTACATTTAACAGCATGTGGTGTTTACCTGTCATGTTTATCTTTGTAGTATTAGACAGGTTTATGTCCTCTAGTAAATCACCTTTAAAGACATAAGAAACATTTAGTTAATGGCAGATTAGTTGTTCCTCCTTTTAGCTGTTGGTATTTAAAACATCTTCCACTTTCCATAGATGGCATATCTCATGTAGAGTGTGTGTATTCTGAAAGACTAAATAATGTAAAGCGAGAATGAACAATTTAGCTAATGCAGCCAGTGTGCTAAATGAGGATATCCGGTTTCACCACTAGATGTCAGCAAACGCATTTTCTTCATTTTAATAGTCAGGACCTTTTATGCTAACTATTAAAATGACAAAGGTGTTGTTTCAGAGGTGGTGTCATTCCAAATTAGGTCTGGTGTTGTAGAATTGAGCGAGTTCACTGTAGATAGTACTGGAAGCAAGCATATAAATAGTTCAAAATTAACGTTCAAACTAACTTATTGCAGGCAAATTTACAGAATTCAAACAGACTTTGTTTGGTATTTGGAGATATTATGAAAAAAGGATGAACATGTGCAGGTATCAGATTAGCACACAAAACCTATGCTGAAACTCAGTGTTCCACCATTACACTGACAAGATCACTGTTAGTGTTCCACCATTACACTGACAAGATCACTGTTAGTGTTCCACCATTACACTAACAGTGCTAACCACACATTCTGAACTCTCCTCATCGGAAACAGATTGTGTAATATCACAACCCACAGCTGAGGTTTGATGACAGTCTGCATTAGAAAAGAGAGATATCTGTACTTTCCATCTCAAAAACCCACAACTTGTACATGCACCATTTAGACCTTTTTTCCTGTATTGACCTTCATGTACAAAATTTCTTTTTAAGAACCATTTGAAAAAATTTAGATTAATTGAGCTTAGCAAAGCACACCAGACAGTATTTACATAAATTCAGACAGAGAAAAAAACTCAGGATGTGGGTCGTCAATTTTCAGGTACAGGTTAAATAACGTACTACACCAGCTCCCATGCTATAATTTCCTAAGGGTTAGTAGTGTCTCAACCTGGTTCCACTGGTTCTGGTCTGGAAACCAATGCTTTGTTTGGCTGAGTCAATAAGTGGTAGCTACTAGCAGGCTTCGCTCTATCCATTATTTAAAGTATTTCCTTAATGACATTGTCTTTCTTTTTTTTCTTTCTTTTTTTTCACAGTGAATGGAAACAAATAGTTGGATTTTATCCATCAGCAGCCAACTCAGGAGTAAGCACTGATACCCATTTGGGTGAGGGCTGTCAAAGAACACTAAACTCATCTTTGTTGGCCAAAAGAGTACTGACTTATCACAAAACACTAAAAATGTCTGCGTTTATGGGTCTTCTGTTGGTTTTGAAGAGTTTTTCTGGGTAAAACTTGAACAACTCAACTTCACTATTAAAGAACAAAAACACACATAGCATGAGTGGAAATTCACCTCTACTGATATGAAACTTGTGTTAATATATTAACACTTTATTTGCAGTAGTTTCTGAGGACCGGTTTCTTTTTCTGCTGTTACTATTTCCTCTTTGTCTCTCTGCTCTACATACTCACAAATAGTGGAAATATTATTCAGAGCACTTGCAGTATGAAAGCTCTAAAATGACATCAATTTCACCTACCAGTGGTGAAATGTGAGTGAACAGATGTAGCTGACTCCACAGAAGGTGCAGGGATCGCAGTGAAAGTCTTGGGGTCACTGGCAGTAAGCATCTCATTGGATGCAGATGACCATTCTAATGAGGGACCATTTGTGTTTGTGGTTGAAAAGTGGACTGCTGGGTTATTGCTTATGAAGAATCTTGAAGTTGTCCTTAGCACCCTCACAGAACTCTGAGGCTGTGCTGTGGAAGGACTGGAGGTGGATGTGAGGATGGGTTTTGTTCCTGTGAGAGAAAAAAAGTATTACATCATAAAGATCAGAAACAAGTAATAGGAAGATATGCGTTGTCATCTGGATAATTTTCAAATGACGTATGTTGTCCAACTTAATAGAGGAAACCAAACTATTTAGGGTGCACAGAAAGGGGAAATGGTTTTGGTCTGTTATTTTGGTCAGAAGTTCAGAGCTTAAGCCAATGAGACAGAGCAACTGATGGGAAAAAACCTGTTGCTTCTCTGGTTTTATGATGATACAACCACACTATCACTGTTCTGCAAATATCCCAATTTATTGGAGAAGTACTTTCCTGTAAACAGGTTTCAATAAAACCTCCTGCCAGTGGGAATATTTTCTCTGCCGGGAGATATTTGACAAAGATGGTAAGAGATATCTGGAACTCACTCTGTTTTCCAACTTTCACAAACTGCATCAAAGGCCCTGCATGTAGATCTGGGTGGTGAACAAGGCACTTCACAGTGACTCTGCTATTCTCAGGATAAACATATAAGATTGCTGCTGTGACAAAAGTTTTGGGTTCTTCATATGTAGTTCCTTGAACTGTGAAAAAAAAACAGTGTTCATTAACAACAGCCACTAAGCAGACAATATACCTTACAACAGGAATTATTTATTTAACTCTAGTCATTTGTTCCCAATATTGTGGGTAAAGATTAGTATCAATACCACTTTATTATTGTTCCCTTAGAGACATTTTCCTGGCAGATTCCAAAAACTCCATCAACTCCTCTTGTTTTTTTATACTTTGTCATGTGCTTTTCCTTCTATCTTTGTCCTATCAAATCTAAATTCAAGATACTTTTTCCACATTATAGTTTGCATTTTTCTTTTTCAACATACATTGAAATTCAGGTTCATTTTTAAATTTCCAAGTTATCTTGGGATGTTGGAAGTTTCCCTTAGCGGTGCATTTTACAGCAGACTTCTCTCCTTCCCTCGTCACTGACATTCTTGGAAGATCTTTAAATAAATGGAAAAACAAGAAAAAATAACATTAATTCAAAAGCTATTGTACAAATATGGATTAAAATGTGGCTGCAAGAAATATTTTGTTATTTGATTACATTATTTAACTCACCCAATACTGTCACTCTAACAGTCTTCACTGACAGTTTGGGTTTATATTGTGTGCATGTGTAAACACCCCCATCTGTAAAGGTGACATTGGTGATACTGATGGAGAACTGTGAGTTGGTCAACTTGGTGATGCTGTATCGTTTGTCCTTTATTGCTAGAAAAAAAAAATACAGTTCTATGCTTCTTAGTCATCATTGTGACATATTGTCATTTTCTAAAATGGTTTCACTAAAACATACTACGTAAAATATTCACCTGAAACATTGTTGAAGAACATAATATTGTTGTCTGGGTCCCTCCACTCAACGATGCCTTTATCAGATTTGCTAATAGGACAGCGTAGATCCACAGTGGAGCCCTTAACTGCAGTCACATTTTGCATCTTTTCTGCAATTGAAACTGCGAAAAAATAAAGGTGAAGTTTGAGTTTCTTGAAAGTCTAAACTTGGAGCTGTGGTGACAGCACTTCTGACAGAGAAATTTGAACCAGCAGAAACAACATACACCTATCCATTGGAACAATTTCAATAAAAGCGTGGAACAATGAAATAATATTTCCTTCTCACAGCTGTCCGAGGCTAAATCTACTTCTCACACCTTGACTCATCTGTTCCCCTGTTTGTCATTGCTCTGCCTCTGCATATGTGTGTGTGGAGGTGGTGTGACCTTAAAAGAAACACTACAAACAAGCAGACCCCCTGTTGCTTTTCTGCTGTGACAGGAAGTAATGTGGTCAATTCTCTTAGCTGAGAGAGAAAGTGGGGCGGGTGTGAGAGAAAATATAGATTAGATGTAGGCTGCTGAAGGGGGCTTTGAGTGCTTTTTCTTTCCTATAGGCTGAAACACACATCTTGAAAATAAGTTTGTGGGGGCATACTGACACCGTTTCTCAAGATAGTGGGCTTCAAAGGCTATCAAGACCTTGTCTCTCTGTAATATTTCAGGTTCATTACCAATGCTCATGCAAGGCAAAACAAAAAACAAAAAAACAAAAGCAGTTCATGTTTTTAGCCGAATAGAAATACATATATCATACAATTATAAAACTGCTAATAAAAGAAAGACATAATCTATCAATAAATCAACTTGACACATTAGTTTTTGACACATTTGAGCTTTAAGACAAGATTTTTAGATTGTTGACATAAGCAGTTTTTAATTTATTACCTGTGGTTAATTTTCAGTTTTATTTGTTGCTAATGAATGTTTTACAGACTGTAATTGTATAAGTGAAAATTTGTTGATTTGATTGAAGAAAATTAAAAATACAGCTCTTGCATGATTCCAGTTATACATGACAAATGTATTATTTTCTTTCCATTTTGCAAAGCATGTCTTACTGGTGATACCTCATGGCCACTGTATTTGGGCTAATTGCATTCTTGCTTTATAGGCTTCTCTTGTGGTTCATTTTTTAAACAGATTGTTGCTTTGTTAGCAATCTTGCGATTTATCTCCATACTCAAGCCAGCAGTCACAAATGGACCATCTACTGAATCATTTTGAAACATTAACAAATCTTCATAGAAAATTCTTTCGACCTAAACAGCAAAAAGAGATGATTCATTTTATTTTTAGAATCTAATTCTTTAAATGAGTATGTCAGGACTTCTGGCCTAGATATCTACTGAACTTTTTCCAGGAAACTTGAACTGATTTCTGATAGGGAGTTTAAATTTGATAAACATCTAATGTTTGATTATGTCTTAATAATCGCTTTGTACTTCATCTTGCCTGTGAGTCAACTGACAACTTTTTTAATAAACTTAAATACAATATAACAAATTAAAACAGTTTCTTAATGCCAACACCATATTTGTATGGTGCACAATTGTATAGTTTAAACTTGTCCTAATATTTTTCAAGCTGTACATAAACTGTTTGTACACTCAGTTTCTCTACAGGAGAGTATCTGTTGTGAAGAAGTACAGATGTGTTCTTGTTCTGCAAGCACATGTCGGTTCTGTATAGTCAAAGTAGCTTCTGTATGTTCTCCAATAAGAACATTTTATAAGAAAATAGTGTTACATAAGTGGCCATACTGATTGCCTTAAAATAATTAAAAATGAAACCAAAAACCATTTAACCACAAATCCAAATATATGTTTACTGAAGATTTCTCTCACAAGTACCAAAACGAAATAGATTGAACAAATAATTAACTTTAGCGGTGAAAAAGTACTGAAAGTAAAGTAAACTCACCTTGTATAAGCACCAAGAAGACAATAAGCTGGAGCTTCATTTTCATTCTTTCGATCTTCCACTTTACTGCGCTTCCTCTGCACTCGCTCTATATGTACTTCACACAGGGACCTTCCGTGACATCACACAACTGTGGTTTCCCCTGACTTTTCATTTTAAGAGATTTTCATGTGATTCTAAAATGAAAAGTCCAGGTCAATAGTTCAGGAATCATACATAGTTTTTATTTTGTAGTTAGATATGTCAGGACTCTAGGTTTTTGGGTTGGTTTTGCTTTTCATTTTATTTAGTTTTATGTTTTAGTTCACTTTAGTTTAGCCCTTCATGATCCTTTTGATATTATTATTATTATTATTATTATTATTATTATTATTATTATTATTATTATTATTAGAGGTATTTAGTGTAATTAGAATTGTCTTATCGCTTTCCTTATTTTCAGTCCTTTAAAGTGTTTCTAGTTATTCTTCCATGTCCGAGTCTATGTATATCTTCCTTTAATGATTCTAGTTAGGTTATTTCTTAAGTCCTTCTAGCTTCCCCCGTAGTGTTATATGGGAGAAGCTGTTTGTACACTCAGTTTCTCTTGCCTGTGAGTCAACACAGGCAAGCTCCTCTTTTTCAGTCACAACTCGCCAGTCTGTCTTGTTATCTAGTTCTTCAGGGGTTAGGGGTTAGGCTTCTCCCATATAACACTACGGGGGAAGCTAGAAGGACTTAAGAAATAACCTAACTAGAATCATTAAAGGAAGATATACATAGACTCGGACATGGACAAATAACTAAACCTAGGGTAGTTAGTTCAGTAAACTAGTTCTTATTTTGTCACTAGGTTCAGTTAGTCTTTCTTTAGTAATTTTAGTTAGTTTTTTTTTTGTTTAGATCTTCTAGTTTCTCTAGCTCTATGTTCCATAGTTCTCGTGAGATCAGCTATTCTATTTAGGTTAAATTATGGGTTCCCTCATATCCTAGTTCTTCAGGTTTTCCTTACTCTTAGTGTCTTTTGTATTAGAAGCATTTCTCAGCTCCCCATTTCCTCCCTTTTGTGGTCCCCAGCAGATCTACTTAGTTTCCATGTGCCACCTTTTCCCCAGCCCTCAGCCAGCTAATATGCCAACTACTCACACCTGCAATCACTCTTCTCATCTAGCTAGGCCATTGTTCCAATTACTACCTCCCAGTACTTAAGCTCCTCTTTTTCAGTCACAACTCGCCAGTCTGTCTTATTATTTCCATGCTGTCTCCATGCTTGTCATTCTCCCAGTGTTCCTTAGAATCACTTTGTGTTTCAGTTTTGGATTTGGTTTGTTTTTGTTTCCCTTGGATATAATTTTTTTTGTGAGTTGGACTTTGATTTTGTTAATTAAATTTTCTAAACCGCACCACGTCTTTACTTGCTGCTTTTGGGTCCACCACACCACATCATGACAAGATAATATTTAGATTTTGTTGTATAGATCCGTGACAGATATACATTGTTTATTTTAATTATTTTAACAACCATGTCATTTGTTGGTCAACTAGCTAAGTATTACCTTATTTAATTTATTATTAAATCTGGGGTAAACCTATTGAGGGAGAACCCAATTTGCAGTGTAAGGAGTTGCAGTGTAAGATGGTAGAAGATTGATTCAGATAATGACTGCCTTCAGTTTGGTAGTCATTTAAAAAAAACACTTCATAAGGTGGGAATGTGTGCTGAACACTTTGCTAAGCAAAGATTATAGACATTCGTCCAATGGACATCCAACCATTGCTTATGCTCGCTTATCCTTGCTGGGATTCAGGGGGACTGGAGCCTGTCTCTAGTATACCCTGCCTCTTGGCCAAGATGAAGTACATGGGGCAAGAGGCAGGGTATACCCTGGACTACCTCTTGCCTACATTAATATAATTATTAATGTAGTTCCATTTTCTGTTATTATCCCTGCAAGGCAGAGATTTTGCTTCAAATAGATACAAAAATAATCTAAAAAGAGCAAATCATGTAAATCTTATACAAATAAATATGACTCCAAATGAAAAAACAAACAAATTTTTTTTAATGTGATTAATTGAGGTCTCACTTTTCAAGTGAATGACCTAATTTGTGATAATCAGATTGACTCACTGGGACTTCATTATTTTAATGTTCACATTCCTTGAAATACTGGATGACGATGAAGAGCAACCACCATCTTTGAGTCATATGTATTAGGCCATTTAATAGCTACATGACCACTAAAACTGCTTCTGTTTGTAGTCATACACCAGGCCCTTACTTTTAAATTGTAGACCAATTATCAGATTTATTTTCTGACTTAGTGTTAAATACTGATAAAGTTATTGTAATGGGGTCATCATCCATATTGACACTTAAAGAGATATCCTAAATGTAGTCTTTAATGCTAGCTGAGGTTTATTTGGCTTTGCTCAAAATGTCTACAGACCCATTTCTCCTATTTTCATAGTCTGGACTTTGTGCTGACATATCATATAAAGTGTGAATAACAGAACCTTTTCCTGTGTGACTATTTTTTAAATTACCTTATTTAAATTACCTTTGAGTTTAATCTACTCTCATCCTAAGGCAAAATGACATTTTCTGACAATGCTGTTACAGGTTTAAATGAATCTTCTTCATTTTTACTTTCCTCTGTATCACAGAAAACCACAGTACACGGCAGCCATCTCAATTCTGGTCTTTCACAAACTTTGTAATGTTACTTCCTCATTGCATGTTGCATTAGATAATGTAGCCCCCTTGAAAAAGAAGGTAAGTAGGCATTGGACTCCCTGCTTTAATTAAAAACTATGTATTTCAAAGCACAGTACTAGAAAATTGGAAGAAAAAAGAGCTTTACACATCTAGCAGAGTTCTACTTGACCTGGAAATAAAGTCTGTTGTTATATAAAAAGACCCTTTGCTGAGCTAGAACAGCATCACCATTCTCATCATTGAAAGAGGAAAATAAGAACCATCCTAGGTTTCTTTTCAGTACAGCTACCAAACTTAAACAGAGTCATGGTTCTGTTGAGCTATCCAATTCCACAGCTCTCATCAGTAATGACTTCATATAATTATTTATAAATAGAATTTATTCTATTAAAAATAAAATCTCTGGAATCTGGCCATAATTGATTGCTTGGTCAGTAAGTAAAAGAGCACTGGACATTAAAAGAAAGTTTTCTTGTAAACGTGTCTTGAGACAATATCTGTTGTGAATTGATACTAAATAATCAAATTGAATTACCTTTAAGTTTAATTTGTTTAGGTTATCACATATCACACAACAGGCCAAATGATTCCATTCACAAACACTTGCATTCAGAATGACACATCACTGTCATTTTGGAGTAATGTCAGTAATGTGGTCAATTCCACTACCAGGATTAATTAGCTTCTGTTTCAAGGGGCCTACGCTGCATGTTCCTTATGCAATATGCAATAAGGAAGTAACACCATGAACAACAATATCAGTTTGTGAAATGAAAGAAATGAAATGGCTGCCCTCTGCTGAGTTTTTCTGTGATACAGAGGAAATATGAAACAGAATATCTTAAAGTTACTTGGAAACCATGTTGCCTTTTCACCTCAAATTTTACAACTTGTAAACATGTCTGCTATAGCAAGGGTCACCAACTCCAGTCCTCGAGGGCTACCATCCTGTAACTTTTAGATGCGTCTCTGCTCAAACACCTGGATCAAATAAACTGCTCGTTTCCAGCCTATTGCATAGAGGAATGAATGCTGGTGAGGGAATTCAGACATTTTGGAGCAAAGGTGAATCTAAAAGTTTCAGGATGGTAGCCCTTGAGGATTGGAGTTGGTGACCCCTGTTCTATAATATGGTATATGTTCATTCATCTGTATGGTGTTCATACACCATACAGATGATGTTCTTTAGAGTCTAAATCAGTTTTCTTTTACAAACACAAAGGAAGGTCTAATTAATTTAGATTCTAAAGAGCATAATCTATATCATGTCAATACACCATATAGATGATGTTCTATAATATGGTATATGTTCTATATGATAGAACATCATCTGTATGGTGTTCATACACCATACAGATGATGTTCTTTAGAGTCTAAATCAGTTTTCTTTTACAAACATAAAGGAAGGTCTAGTTAGACTGTCAAAAACCTTGAGATTTTTGTGGGAAGTGATAAGATGGACAAGGTTAGAAATTGGAATAAAAAAAATTAAATAGGAATTATGAAGGTGGGGCAGTTTAGAAATTAAGCTATAGAGAGGCCAGGTTGAGATGGTTTGAACAAGAGTGATAGTGGACAAAGAATATTGAAGATGGAGCTGTCAGGTAAAAGAGGATGACCTTGGAGAAGATGCATTGATGTAGTGAAAAAGGAAATGTAGTTGGTTGGTGTATCGATGGGATAGGTTGAGATGGAAGCAGATGATCCACAGCGTTGACCCTTCAAAGGAGCAACCAAAAAATGAAAGAGAACACTGCTGTTTTTATATTTATATAAAGGTATCGTAATTACTTTTTTCAGTTCATTGGTGTTGTAGTTTACCCATTCCCCCTCTGTGTACCACCCAGGTCCGTTTACCAGTTTCGGGACCCGACCAAAACCCCTCAGTGTCATACCTTGAGAAATAATGAGATTTTAAGTATAAAACAGGGTTTAATGCTGAAAATGATCAAATGTTGCAAGTCATAAGAGTCATACAAATGGAACAGATACAGAGTGACATTCACCATCCAGCACTGGGGTCCACTTAGCTCACCTTAGGGGTGACACCAAGTGAAGCAAAGATAATAGCATGAGCTCTGCTTTTAGCTTCTCCTCATTATGACTTTAAAATCTTCTAAGACATTCAAAAG